AAAAAAAAAAAAAGCAATGAATATAGTTTGTACAATACAGTTTGTTATAAATGCATGGTGATGGGCAAATACATAGGAAAAACCCAGAAGAACCTGTATCTTATACAGCAGTGAGTAGTGTCCCCCAAACTCATGCCCACTAGATCTTCCAAACTTGAGCTTATTAGGAAATAGGGTCCTTGCAGGTGTAATTAAATAAAAATGAGGTTTTAGTTGACTAGTGTGGGCCCTAAATTCACTACCTGGCATCCTCATAAGAAAGCCATGTGGAGATGGGACAGCAACCATAGTGACACAGCTACACCCAAGTACATGACAAGAAGTGCTAACAACCACCAGTCCAGGAGGAAGGCACGGAGACCCCAGAAGAAATCAGCACTGTGGGGACCCTGAGTTCAGACTTCTGGTCTCCTGAACTATGGAAAATAAATTTAGTTGTTTTAAGCAATTCAGTTTATAGTAATTTGTTACAGTACATTAGCCCTACGGAACCGGTATAACACTGTTTAACAGTGATTCATTCCAAGGAAGGGATTTGGGAAGGGCAACCCAAGGAGAATTTTGTTCTTGCATTGATAATCTTTTTAGGCAATAAATATAAAAAATGTATCCACATTTTATTCTGGAAGCTTTGAGTCTGCCACTTATCAGGTGTGTTCTCAGGATGACTCTGATCTGGCCACACAGACAGAGCCCACTGGTAAAGGTATCCACTGTGACTGACCCGGGCCTGAACAGTGTCATTATTAGTTTGATAACTGTATGAGGTTTTTTTGTGTGTGTGGTACTGGGAATCAAACTCAGGACCTTATGCTTGCCGGGAAGGCACTTGTGCCACTGAGCTACATCCCCGGCACAAGTTGTTTTCTGTTGCTGTAACAAAACAACTGAGACTAAGTTCTTTGTAAAGTAAGGAGTTTATTTGGTTCATAATTCTGGTGGCTGGAGGGTTCAACCAGCATAGTACTGACATCTTGGCAAGAGCCCTCTTCATTGCATCCAAATGTGACTGAGGCATGGGAAGGGCACCATCGGTGTGCAGATTTGGGGGCCACTTGGACCTTGTTACTTCTCACCAGGCTTTGCCTCTTAGAGCTTCTACCACCTCAACACTGCCAGGCTGGAGACCAGGCCTCCCGCACGCAAGCCACATTCAAACCACAGCAACAGTCACACGTGGCTGTGCATAACATTTACATATACACTGGAAAATGACGCTTTGTGTCACCCCAAAGCCTCTTAGAAGAGTCTACCAGATCCAGGAAAAAGAAAAAGAAAACAATTGCTTGTCAGTTTCCAGAGGTTTAGACTGTATCAGGACTCGATCTTCATGTAAACCAGAAGATATGCTGTTTCCTGCCTGGAAAGAAGAGAAAAACGCATCAGCAGAGCAACAGGAGGCAGCCACCGTGCGCCGCAGCTCACCAAGGCACGCAGGGCAAGCACCGGGCCACCTCCAGGCTGCCGGGCCACGCCTTCACCTACCCGTCAGCCACCAGCCCCTCCGAGGGGGAGGAATGGAGACACAGGCAAGTAAGCACTAGCTTGTATTGGTTAACACCCAAATTAGGAGCGGATGATTATGGGACAAGAGGTCAAGCCGACCCCATTTCTGCAAGCGTGTGAACGGTCCCGCTCAACTCATTCATTTCTGCACTGCCTCCAGCCGCTTCTGGCCCGCAGGGACTGTGAGCCACAACATCAAATCTGTTTCCTCTGGCCTTTTACAGAGCCAGTGACAGAAAAATGAGCCAGACACGACACCTGAGACAGATGCTTAGAAGGAACAGAAAGATGAAAGTTAGAAAGCTGAAGGAGATTTCGAACACAAATGACACCTAACTCCTTAGCTTTCACATGATCACGCCTGCCTCTACAACTGAAAATCATTTTTTTTTCTTTTTTTCTTTGTTTTTTCTTTTTTTTTCTTTTTTTTTTTTTTT